TTTGTAGTCTTTTTGCGTCTCTTTGTAGTTGTTTTGTGTTTATTTGTGGTCATTTTGAGTAATAATCTGAAGTATTTCACGGAGGTAACGAGTTTCTTCTTCCTGACAGTGCAGCTGTTATAAGAGCGCCGTCGTGCAGCGTGATCTCTCGTCTCACCTCGAAGAAGAACGGGTAGGCGTCGTCTCCCAGCTTGCGCAGCAGTCTGGCCTGCGTCCTGGTGTGGATTCCCTTCTCGCGGTCCAGCAGAGGCGGGTACACCTGGCGGGTGGACAGGTACAGCTCCCTGCGGAAAGCGATTCCCATCACGTCCATGTCGTCTCTGCCGTACCGAAAGGTGCAGGACAGGGTGACGAACACTGGAGGACAGAGGACGGACGATGTGTCTGATCTGATCACTAGTCTGATCAGGGATCAGTGAGTAGAACGTGGAGAGAAACGTGGAATCTGTTTGAAAGTGTATGTTTGTGTTTGTATTGTTCTGTTCTGTGATAGTTTAACAATATTTCACTGTAAATTTGAGTTTTGACAATCGTTGTAAATTACATCAGTTATTAGTTACATTAATTACACAGCCAACTAAATATTCATCAATAGCTAAATTGTGAAGGTGTAACATGGAAACATTCATTTCAAAATAAAGGCAAACAGGAAGCAGGATCTGAAGAGCTGCTTCTGATTCTCTTGATCTTGAACTCTTTAACACAGTTTGACATGAAAGTAAGAAGTGCTGTTTGTCCAAAGTATGTTCCAGTAAAGTGAACAAAACATAAAAATATATGTTTAGATTCAGTGAGGATCCGGATGAAAATATACAGAAAATATCTGTAATTCTGTCCGAAATTAAATTATTTTTACCGACTTTGAGCTTCAGGGGAACATTAAGCTTCATATGGAGAGACTGAGACTGAGACCCACAAGAGGCTTCAGTTGTCTCATGAAGTAAATCTTTCTTAATGTATTAGATGTGCGAGGTGAACTTTGAACTCAGCATCCTGTAATAAGGCAGAGTGGTGCGTTCAGGTACTCACCTTTCCTCCCCTGCAGAGCCTCATGATCGATGAGGATGACGCCATCTAGAGGTAAAAAGGGTCAAAGAGCTTTTATATTGAGTTCAACCAGGATGATCCCAATAAGGGCTGCACAATTATATCATAATATATTATATTATATGATATATATGTGTGTATTTTATGTTTATTAATGAGGAAACTCACCCACTGGATCCACAGAGTCGACTCGGTCCACAAAGTCTCTTCTCCCCATGTAGACCCCAACCTTTAAGAACAGAGTCGATTATTGTTTTAAATGTTTTAAAGAAAAGTAAATTACATCAGTTTCTAACGAGCTCTCTCGGGTTTAATCTGCATCTTTTTATTATTTCTGATTCGTGCAAACATCAAATCCACATTAAGATCTCTGTTCTAAAACAGACAGTAATTAAAACCTTAAACATTAAGTTAATTAGATATTTACCAGGTTTTACACTGACAGTCAGCTGATGTAATAATTATATGAACACAAGATATTCATGTTGCTGTAATCTGAAAAGCTTTCATCAACATGTTTCATTTTCTTAAAAACACAGATGTGTAAAAGAACGTCACGCTGAAGACTTCTGTGCATCAAACATTCATAGAACATCAACATGTAACCGACACAAAGCTGTCGACTGAACTCACGTTGTGACTTTGTGTCGACCTCCTGAGGATCAGCTGATCAGCTTTATGTGATTAAAGTCAGTGAGACGGAAAATAATTCAGTGAAAGACCAACATTCACTGATGAGCATAAGACATGTGACCAATAAGGTTTCTGTTCCTTTAAAAAGCTGCACAAATTAAACTAAAGTCATGTTTTTAATTTCATTCGTGCAACATTTTATTCAGGAAATATACTTAAATAAACCTGGTTTCATCACTCAGTTCTTCTGTTGTGGTGTCTTTTGTTTCTCTGCTCCGAGGTCGCCCTGTGTTTCCTGTTTTAATTTGTACTTTTAGATAATTGTGTGTTTCCTGTTTTAATTTGTACTTTTAGATAATTGTGTGTTTCCTGTTTTACTTTGTACTTT